TCTCTTTTCCTCTCATCCGTAAATATACACAAAGCAAAACTTTCTCACACATGTCACTGGAATGGCAAAGAGGATGAGAGTTTGAGGAAATTTTAAGTAGTTAAAAATTTTCAAAGGCTAAATTGTTATGCTAATTAACCCAATAAACTGTGCTGCTGAGTCCTTTGCTGTTACACCTAAGATACAATATCCGTAAGTAGAGAGCAATGAGTTACACAAAAGAAAGAAATTTATCATTACTGTAGAAGGTATTGAAACAAAGAACTAGTTTTTCTCCTCTTGAAAGAACATCAATAGTAAATAACAAGCCTCTAGCAACCCTAATATTAGGTATAGCTTGTAGTTAATCAGAGTGGAAATTCCAGTGTCTTGTTCAGGATTTCATTGGAGAACTTCAGGAATGCAGGGTCTTAGCACTTATTGCATCAAAACACAAATAGTTCAAATCATCATGAACAGCGACATGTATGCATTTATTATATGTTTATTCATTCAGAACTGGGGAAGAAGATCCTGAACTTTGAAAGTTGTGACAGGATCATCAACTTATTAAGACTACTAGGAGTAAATTGCACTGAACATTTTATCTTCTAACTCTGATGAAACAGTAAGAAGAATTTGTAAGTTCACTGGATTTATATTCAAATAATATTGACACCATAGTTTTTTAAACATCTGAAAGCAGTTTACCATAACTATTGCCTCAGTTTTGCTTGTTACATATTGATCATCCCTAAAAATTCAAATCCCTGAAAATCCAAAATTCAAAATTTTTTGAGCAACATGTCAGTGCTCAAATAGTTTGCGCTTTCTTAGTATTTTCAATTTTGGATTTTTGGATTAGGGATAAAAACCTAAAAAACTCCAAAATCTGAAACACTTCTGTTACCAAAAGTGTTATTTCAGATAAGTATATTCAGTTTGTATTAACTTGTAGTCTCTTTTACAGTCAATACATTTAATATCTTAATAAAATACTTGTTTTTGTACCAGGGATCAAACCCAGGCCCTTGCACTTGCGAGGCAGGTGCTGGAACCACTGAGCTAAATCCCTGGCCCTTAGAGGATGTTTTTAAAAATATAAAAATTAGATTTCCCTACCTTCATCTGTCTTAGCACGTCCTTGAATTCAGCATCAATAAATACTCTGATATCCAGTAAAGAAACTCCAGTATTTCCTAACCTCTGGTAGGACTCTGGATGCTCTACCTATAGATTAGAATCCATTACCAGCATGGAGTTGACACTGTGAAAGACATTATTAGAATAATTGCCACACACACACACACACACACACACACACACACACACACATATGCTAAAAATTATTGATTAGTGGAGCATGAATTAATGAAATTTCATTGTATTGTAATTGGATCCCATGGTTTCAGAATTTGTGATAATTCAGAAAGGGACTGAGGTTAACTTCAGTAAATAAAAATTTCATAACAAAATAGTAAGAGAATAACAAGAGTTAATACACTCTATACCATCATCTTCAAAATAGTCCAAGTACAAGACATAGACAAAAAAAATTCTTACAAAGAATAAACAAACAAATATTAACACAAACCTTTATTTTTGATGAACTAGATAAATTAAAAGTATAAGTGAAACAAATTAACATATATATTGAAATATTTTTGAAACAATGCAATAGTTAATTTGGGAAAGTAATTGAACTTCCATTTTAATGTAATACAGATGCTCCTTGAATTATGATCGGATTATGTTCCAATAAACTCATCATAAAATTAAAATATCATAACTCAAAAATGCCTTTAATACACCTAACCTACCAGACATCACAGCTTAACAACACAGTTCATTGTAAATTATTGGTTGTTTTCCTTTATGATCATATGGCTGACAGGGAGCGATGGCTCATCACAGCTGTGCAGTATTGATAGAAAATATTGAACATATAACTACCCTGGTAAAATATCAAAATTAAAAGTGCAGCTTCTACCAAATGCATATTGCTTTTGCACCATTTTAAAGTTGCAAAATCACAAGAGAAACCATAGCAAATCAGAGACCATCTGTAATGGCAGTATGTTTTGTTAGGATTTCCTATATGTAAACATCGACTTATTATGATTGATTAAAACCCGTGTGGTAGCATCTGCCTCTAATCTCAGCACTCTGGAGGCTGAGGCAGGAGGATTGCAGTGAGTTCAAGACCAGCCTGGGCTAATAGTGAGCTTAAGGACAGCCTGAACTACAGGGCAAGGTTTTGTCTCAAAAAAACCCCCCAAAAACAGCAGACCATTAGTCATGTCATCAATCCAACACAGCAAAGAATTGTAAGAAATGTACTAAAATGAGTTTTGCAGAGGTTTGTATTTGTAGTTTGAACATAGATGTATGTTTGTTGCATCATTAATAACATTTTTAGAGCTTTAACAGGATCCATTTGCAAGACTGACATATCTCTATTTTCTGAAAATGGCAGAAATAGTATTAAGATAGTCTAAAAACAAAATTATCATATATTTAATAAACCAAAATTCATCTTACTTATAAAATTTATCAGAAAATAGTGTTTGGAGCATATTAATGCTTTAACATTGTACTTAACAGACCAGTTTGATATGAAACCTATAGATTAAAACAGTTCCTTAGGCCGGGGATTTAGCTCAGTGGTGCTGCCACCTTCCTCGCAAGGGCAAGGTCCTGAGTTCAATCCCCGGTACCACCCCAAAAATTTTTAATAGTTCCTTAGTAGACAGTAAAAATGTTCATGGTGTGACAATATATGAACTTAATTATCTACATCTTCCTAGGAAACATTCTCCCAGGAGATAGAATGACTATTTTAAGTCTGACTTCTACAGCATGTACATTTATAAATTTACTTGTATTTATTAATCTGCTATATAATATACAGAACTGTGCTCACTAAATGAAATAAACTGCCACCAGCAGTCTTCTCCTCCTTTGGGTTTAGCCAAGAGAATAACACGTACAAAAATTAGAAAATCAAGTGGAATAATTCACACTACACTGAATTTCCTTCCCTTTCAAGAATGTCTATACATCCAAAGTCAAATCACACTTTTTCTATAAAACCTTCTCAAACAAACCTCAGCCTCCAGTAATCTCCCTTTGCTATTCTCTTCATCTTTATTCTAAGTTTCAATTGTTCAACATGTCTTATATATGTATTTTTTATACAAGGATAAGCAATTTAATTTTTGAGACATGCTGCTACTCTATTTTCAACAACATTCAGTATGGTAGTGGGTACACAGTACAAGCTAGAAAATAAAAGCTTGTTGAAATTCACTGTAAAAAACAAAAATCTGCATTCCTGAGATAACTGGACAAACTGCAAAATGAACTATCAATATTATCTTTATGACACCTTGATAAATGCTCTTTTGTATGAGGCAAGCACCTAGCCATAGTCATTACAATAGAATTCTATTGAATTCAAATCACTTCCAGGTTCTGAAATATGTGACAATAAACAAACAAGGGTTCATATGGTAATTATTATTTCAAATAATTCAGGCTTTAATTCATCAAGAGCTTTTTCAAACCAAAACACTTCGAACTTTAAAATCTAGCAACTAGAAGCATGTCAGCTTGTGAGAGCATTAAAAAAAATGCACACTGAAGTCCAAGATTATCTTCCAGGAGCAACAGAGTTATACTGCACTTTACACCATATCCAGGAGAACCTTAAATAAGAAATCTGTCAAGGTAAAACATTTTATTCAAAACTACTAGGGAACTAGCAGTTCTAGTAGATTCACAAATAGCATCTATATCCTTTTTTAAAATCTTTAAAAGGATTTACAAAAACTAAATTTAGTTTTTCCACTATTGTACTTCTTGTTCATCACTTCTTTTTGGATAAAAGAAACCTGAAAATGGCTTAAAAACCACTAGAGATTAAAGCAAGCCAAATAAAAGGAACCCGTCTTCTATTATCTGCTCACAGAAGTACCTTACAATCAAAATTACTACTATTTGAAATTCAAAGTGAACTGTAGTTTTGTTCAACCATGTGCTTCTAAAGAAAGATGCTCACTCCTCAAATATTTTTAATTTTCAAAAGTGTAGTTTAAAACTTTAGATCCTTATCTAAACTTTACCTTGTCCAAAATGCTATTGTTTTTGCAAAGTGAATATTTCCACCTGCAGGTTGCTTTAATGAACAGATAGATCACAATCCAGCCTCATTTTTATTAGGAACATATTAGGTTTCATCAACATGTTTTGCAATGAAAACGAAGTAGTAGTATGTCATTGTTCTGGATGAAAAAGAAGTACATCAATTTGAATGAAGAGTAGTTAGTTTGTAAAACTTGTTACCAATGATCCACTCTGCCTATACCTCAAGTTTGATAGCACTTGGAAAAGTCAAGTAGAGTGTGTGCTGCTGGTTTGTTTTATTATTATTGCTGTGATTATGATTATTATCATCATTATCTGATATAATTACTATCTTCCTACTGTTACATGCTAGGATTCAAAAGCAAGGCACAAGGCTTTCAGAAGCTTTTGGCACACTAGTAAAATGAACACTGAAAAGTAAGAGGTCATTGTAAGTATGTATTCAAACCTTGAGCAAGAAGCAACAGCAACCCGGAGAATGGGCTTTTCAGAAGCATAAAGTCAGGCTAAGCCTCCTGAGAGCAACAGCCAGATGCAAAATCAGAACCAGAGAGAGAAAGGACCGAGCATGGCACTAGGAGAGACTGTCTTGGAATCAGTGACCCAACTGCGAGACTGTACATAGAGTTGCCAACATCTGTGGCATCTAAAATTTAAAAGCAGGCCTTTAGCACCGACCCTACATTACCAGTCGCAGGAGTTGAGGCCAGAAAGTGATGGTTTTGAGAAATAAAACTACCTCGAATTAGCCGCGAGCAAATGTAGGTGAGGCGACAGAAGCTTCTGGAGGAGAAAGCAGTATTTCTCTAGCCTCCCGGGGCCCCAGAGGCCAGAAAAGCGATGTAGCACTGGACGAGTGCAGTGCCACTACTCACCCCCTAATCTCCTAAGGTCACCGTCGTCGCCCAGCTCGGTTCGACGCAGCCCCAGCAGGGAAGAAGCCCCTCCCCCGCCCGCCGCCGCGGATGGGCTTGGCGGGCAAGGGAGGTGGCTGCGCAGGTGTCCAAGAGACAGGGCCAGCGAAGAGCTGGATGTAAGGGAGAAGCCTGGTGCCTTGCCTGCCTGGCGCCGCCAACTTCACCACTATCGCCGTGGAAGGATGAGAGGAGGGAATGGGTCAGGGGAGGCTCTTGTCCAGCAGCCGGGACCTTCCCCTTGTAGCAGGCCCGAGCCTGTGGCGGGACTGCCGCCCCCAGTCTCCTCAGTGAAGCGACCCCCAGGCC